TATATCTATGGAAGAACAACAGACGTCGAGACAGACCACAAGCCATTACAATACATCTTAAACAAGCCCTTGCATGAAGCCCCACTGAGGCTGCAGAAGATGATGCTGACATGGCAGCGGTACTACTTAAAGGTGAAATATGTACCAGGATCTGAACTATCTGTTGCTGATGCACTAAGCAGATGGTATAAACCTTTCACCCGCTCAGCTGCTCATGGGTCGAAGATTGAAATCTTCCCTACCAACAAAGGTTGATTTGCTTAAACCCAAACGATCACAAGAAATTCAGCAGCACTTTCAAAAAAGAAAGGAGCGAGAGAAATTCTATTATGACCAACACAGTGGGAAAGACAGAGACAAAATTCGAAAACTCTAACCTATAAGTCAGTTGCTTTAAGAAATGAAAAGATAATAAAGCTATTCTTAAAACGTTCGGTGTTAAAAGGTCAAGCGCGCCTTAATGAATAAGTAGATTCGTGTGGTGCAGGTAATAACTGATAAAGGCAGAGATTGTTGTCATTTACAGTTGTGTGAAAAAGTCACACGTATTTCGTCATGGTGGGTTGCTAATTCCTTAATGTTCATAATAACAAGAGCCTCATGATAGCTAACACTGGGAAAGATGATGGACATTGCACTCTTCTATATACGTTATAATTTTGCATTACATATTGAGGCAAACTGAAGTGAAAGGCCGGTACTGCATAGTCCATAACTGATCTAATACAACCAGAGTAGAAGAGCCCTAAACCCATGCTCCACATGTAGTACTTTACTTTGCTCACTGTGCTGAATGGTGATCAAACTCAATCTGTTCTTTCCGGTGAGATGTCCAAAAGACACCAATAAAGTCACTCAAAAAATTTGAAAATCGGCTAATTTTCTAAATGTAAGTTTCCCAGGCATGTGCTATCTTTATAATTCCAAAAGAATTTTTATGTTCGCAATGCTATAACAAAAACCTGAGTAAACCATGACCACAATTATCCCCACTCCTGTTCTAAATACTCATGATGCAGTAAGGTAAGTTCGGTTACTTCTCTGTTAATTACTCGATCAGTAATCATGGTTTCCATATCTCGCACGTGTTATTGCACGCGTAGACCACATATGCTAATTTTGCTTATGGGCTTCTTTTCAGAAGGCAGAATTAAAAAGAAAAGCACCA